TCCAACAATGGGAAAATTACACACTCTTCCTAAGAGCATGTGAAACATTCTCCAAGGTAGACCACAGTAGATGATAGACTATAGGACAAGCTCAATATATTTAAAAGGTTTGAAATCGTACCAAGTGTGTTCTCCAACCACAATGGAATTGAATTAGAACATGTGTAAATTAAATCACACACTCCTAAATGGCCAATGAGTCAAAGAAGAAATTACAAACAAAACTAGAAAATACTTTTCAGATAAATGAAAACAAAAACTCAACATGCCAAATTATATGGGAGGCAGCTAGACTAGTTCTCAGAAATTTATAGATGTAAGTGTACACATTAAAAAATATCTCATATCAGAAACCTAAACATTCACCTGAAGAAACTAGGGAAAGAAGAGTAAACTAAATGCAAAGTAAGCATAAGGAAGGAAAGAATAAAAATTAGAACAGAAATAAATGAAATAGAGAATATAAAAACAGTAAAGAAAAATCAATGAAACCATAAGTTGATTCTTTGAAAAGATCAATGAAATTGACAATCCCTTAGCTAGATTAACCAAGACAAAAAGAGAGAAGACTCAAATTACTAAAATTGAGAATAAAAAGAGTGGCTATCACTATTGATCTCACAGAAATAAAGGGACTCTAAGGTGATATTATGAACAACAGTATGCTAACAAATTAGATAACTTAGATGAAATGGACAAATTCCTAGAAAGACACAGACTACTGAAACTGATTCAAGAAGAAATTTTTTGAAAATCTAAAAAGTAAAGAGTTTGAATTAGGCCTAGGCCTAAATGGCTTCACTAGTGAATTCTACAAAAGTGTAAAGAAGAATTGACATCAGTCCTTCACAAACTCTTTCAAAAATAGAAGAGCAGGGAACACTTCCTAACTCATTCTATGAGGTCAGTATTACTCCATTACCAAAACAAGACAAAGACATCACAAGAATAGAAAACTACTGATAAATAGCCCTAGGAATATAGACACAAAAATCCTCAACAAAATACAGCAATTATAAAACATAATCCAGCAACATATAAAAAGGATTGTATACTATGAGCAATTGGGATTTATCCCATGAATACAAGGTTGGTTGAACATTTTAAAATCAATGAATGGAATAAACTGCATCAATAGAATAAAGAACAAAAGACAAATGATCATATCAAAAGATGCAGAAAAAGCATTTAATGAAATCCAATAAACTTTCATTATGAAATCACTCAAAAAACTGGAAATAGAAGGGAACGTCCTTAACCTCATAACAGACATCTACGAAAAATCTTGCCAACATCATACTCAATGGTGAAAGACTGAATGCTTTCCCTGAGGATCAGGGGCAAGAAAAGTTGTTTGCTCTTGTTTTGTTCAATGTTGTACTGGTGGTTCTAGCCAGGGAAATTAGGCAAGAAAGAGAAATATAAGGCTTTCAGGTCAGAGAGGAAGAAGTAAAACTATCTCTATTTGCAGATGACATGATATTATGTGTAGATGATGATAAAGAATCCATTCAAAAACTATTGTAACATAAAGTAGTTCAGAAGCACCACATTTCCTGACTTCAAACTATATTTCAAAGCTATAGAAATCAAAACATATGATATTGGCATAAAAACAGACATATAGATCAATGGAACAGAATAGAGAGCCCAGAAATAAACCCAGGCATATATGGTCAACTAATTTATGACAAAGAAGCCAAGAATATACAATGGGGAAAGGACAGTCTCTTCAATAAATGATGCCGGGAAAACTGGATGTTCACACGCAAACGAACAAACCTGGAGCCCTATCTTAAACCATACGCAAATATCAACTCAAAATGGATTAAAGACCTGAACACAGGACCTGAAACCAGGAAACTCTTAAAAGAAAACATAGCGGGTAAGCTCCTTGACAGTGGTCTTGGCAGTGATTTTTTTGGATTTGACACCAAAGCAAAGGCAATAAACGCAAAAATAAACAAGCAGGACTACATCAAACTAAAAAGCTTCTGCACAGCAAAGGAAACTATCAGCAAAATGAAAAGGCAGCCTACTGAACTGAATAAGATATTTGCAAATCATATATCTGATAGGGTTTAATATACAAAATATATAAAGAACTCATACAATTCAATAGAGAAACAAGTACAATTAAAAAATGGGCAGAGGAATTGAATAAGCATTTTTCCAAAGAAAACATACAAATGGCGGACAGGTACATGAAAAGGTGCTCAACATCACTAATCATCAGGGAAATGCAAATCAAAATCACAAGGAGATATTATCTCACACCTGTTAGAATGGTTATCATCAAATAGACAAGAGATAGTCTTATTACAAGGAAAAAAATTGTTTCTTTTGTCTCTATATCAGATGATGGATGTCAGCTAAACTTATTGTAGTAATCAATTCACAATATATGTAAAGTCAAGTCATTATGCAGTATACCTTAAATTACAGTGCTGTATGTCAATTACATCTCAATAAAATTGGAAGAATAAAAAGACAAGAGAGAAGTGTTGGCGAGAATGTGGAGAGAAGGGAATCCTTGTGCACTTTGGTGGGAATGTAAATTGGTGCAGCCACTGTGGAAAACAGTATGGAGTTCCTCAACAAATTAAAGGAAATGAAAGGGATTTTGAGGAGATATCTACATCCCCACATTCATTGCAGCAGTATTCACAGTAGGCAAGACATGAAAACAACTTAAGTGTCCATCGACAGAGGAATGAAAAAAGATGTGCTGTGTGTATGTATGTATGTATATATATATATACACAATGGAATCTTATTCAGCCATGAGGAAGAAGGAAACCATGCCATTTGTGACAACATGGATGGGCCCTGAGGGCATTATGTTAAGTGAAATAAGTCAGACAGAGGAAGACAAATACTGCATGGTATCACTTATATGTGGAAACTAAAGAAAAAAGATCAAACTATTAAAAACAGAGCAAAAAGTAATTGCCAGTGGCTGAAGGGTGGGAGAAATAGGGAGAGGTTGGTAAAGGGTACAAACTTTCAGTTATGAAATGAATAATTTCTGAGAATAAAATGTAAAACATAGTGACTATAGTTGATAAACTGCATTATATAATTGAAATTTAAAAAATAAGTAAATTATTCAGTAAGTTTGCAAGATATAAGATCAATACACAAAAACCAATCGTATTCTGTCTACTAGCATCTGAAAATGAAATTTAAAAAAGGTAACTATGGGGACTGGCCCGGTGGTGCAGCGGTTAAGTGCGCATGTTCTGCTTTGGTGGCCCAGGGTTCAACGGTTCGGATCCCAGGTGTGGACATGGCACCGCTTGGCAAGCCATGCTGTGATAGGCGTCCCACATATAAAGTAGAGGAAGATGGGCATGGATGTTAGCTCAGGGCCAGTCTTCCTCAGCAAAAAGAGGAGGATTGGCAGCAGATGTTAGCTCAGGGCTAATCTTCCTCAAAAAAATAAAAAGAAAGGTAACTATGTGAGGTGGTGGATATGTTAATCAACTTGACTGTGGAAATCATTTCACAATGTATATGTATACCAAATCATCACATTGTACACTTAAACATATGCAATTTTATTTGTCAATTATACTTAATAAAGCCCTGAAAATAGGAAAATAATTCCATTTACAAAAGTCATGAAAAAGAATAAAATACTTATGAATAATTTTAGCAAAAGAAGTGTAAGACTTGCACATTGGAAACTACAAAACATTACTGAAAGAAATTACAGCACATCTAAATAAATGGAAAGACACCCCACATTCATGGATTGGAAGACTTCATACTGTGAGGATGGGGATACTCCCAAATTGATCTACAGAGTGAATGAAATCCCTATCAGAATCCCAGCTTGCCTTTTTGCAGAAATTGATAAGATCCTAAAATTCATATGGAAGTAGGAGGGACCTTGAATAACCAAGACAATCCTGAAAAAGAACAAAGTTGGGGGCTCATATTTCCAGGTTTTGAAACATACTTAATACAAAGCTACAGTAATCAAAACAGTGTTGTAATGTTACAACGATAGACATACAAATATATGAAAGAGAGTTGCAATTCCAGATATAAACGCTTAGATTTATGATTTATAAAGTTTGATAAACGTGCCAAGAAAATTCAATTCAGCACATGGTGCTGGAACAACTGAATATCTGCATGGAAGGGAATTAAGTTAGAGTCTATCTCACACCATACACAAAAACTACTTCAAAACTGATCATATTTCTAAATTTAAGAACTAAAACTATAAAACCCTTAGAAGAAAATACAGGAATGAATCTTCGTGACCTTTGGTTAGGCAATGGTTTCTTAGATTTGACCCCCAAAAATTAAGCAAGAAAAGAAAAAAACAGATAAATTGGACTTCACCAAATTAAATCTTTTGTATTTCAAAGGACAGTTCAAGAAAGTGTAAAGACAACCCACAGAATTGGAGAAAATATTTGAAAATCATATATCTAGTATCCAGACTATATAAAGAACTTTTGCAACTCAAAATAAAAAGACAAATAACCCACGCAAAAAAAAAAAAAAAAAACAAGCAAAGCGTTCACATAGATATTTCTCAATGAAGATAGGTAAATGGTCAATAATTACATGAAAAGATGCTCAAAACTACTAGCCACTAGGGAAATGCATACCAAAACCATAATGGATGGAGGACTATAATAAAAAAGACAGACAATAGCAAATGTTGGCAAGAATGGGGAGAAATCAGAACCCTCATACACTATTGGTGGGAATGTAAAATGGTGCAGCTCCTTTGGAAAACAGTTTGGCAGTTTCTCAAGAAGTTAAACATTGAGTTACCATTTGACCTAGCAATTCTACCCCTAGGTATATAGCTAAGAGAAATGAATACATATGTCCACCCCAAAACTTGTACATGAATGTTCATAGCAGCATTATTCATAACAGACACAAAGTGGAAACAATTCAAATGTCCATCAACAAAAGAACAGATAAACAAAAGTAGTATATCCATATATTGGAATACTATTCAGCCACAAAAAAGAATGAAATAAAGACACATGTTTCAAGGATGAACCTTGAAAAATTGTGCTAAGTGAACAAAGCAAGTCGTGGCAGACCACATTTTATATGATTCCATTTATATGAAATGTATAGAAAAGGAAAATCTAAAAAGACAGAGAATAGACTAGCGGTTGCTTAGTGTGGGTGTGGGATGGAGTGGGGAATGATTGCTAATGGGTTTTTTGGGGGGTTGATGAAAAATAATGTGAACTTTGATTGTGGTGAACTTGATTATGAATACACTAAAAACCGTTTAAATTGTTCAATTTTATATTTGAGCTATATCTCAATAAAGACATTTTAAAAACTAAAATAAAAAATCCCTTAGGATTGGTGGGAGAGAGATTGGACACCCTGGGTGACCTCCAGGGCATGGCTCCTCATGATTGGGGTCCACTACGGCTCTCTCTCTAATCTGGAGGGTGGTGGCTGCACCCTTCCCACTGGAATCTGGAGTTGAGAAAGGAGCTCTTGGACCAACATTGGCTTTGCCCCACAGACAAGTCTTGGTAGCGTTTCCTCAGTGCTTCCTTGCTTTGGGGCGTCCTCACCATGAGACCCCCATGGTCATAGGAACATTCAGTCACAATGATGTGGGTGATTTGTAATCTGAAGAGCACTTTCCCCATCTCTCTTGGTTGAGGTCATTGTACCAGTCCTGAGAGAAGTGCTGTTATTCGCACTTACTAGGGGAACCTGAGACCAGAGAGGTGAAGGGGTTTGGCCAAGATCACTCAACGTGTTAGTGGCATGTTTAATGATTCGTCTTTCTACTTCTAATCGCTTTTTTCTACATCTGCAAAGTATCTGCTCTGCTTTCTGCTGAGAAAGGGAGGCGGGCCACAACGGGTCAGCCCTTCTGGCTTTTGTTTCTTGGCAAGAATGAGGGCTCTTACAGCTTCTTTGCAGGGACAGCAGTGGATAAGGATGCAGCTATAGAGTGTCTCGGGCTACGAATCAAGTGGAGACGCATGGTGTTCATCTGCTTAATGGGAGGTGCCTCTTTTTGCCTGGTCCACTGTCGGAGGTGAGGGTTCTGGTCTAGTCAATGATCTCATCCCAGTTGTTTTTGGGGTAAGGGGCAGCAATAAGAGTGTTTGAGGGCTTTCCTTTGCTAAGCTAGGTAAGATCGTAATTGTCTGAGCCTCTGACGCTGCATACATAAACAGCAGGTGCCCTGAACTTAGTTCAGGCACCAGGAAGCCCAGATGTCTCAGGATCACATGCACTTCATATCACCTGGAGCTCCCAATGCCCACCTCACCTCTAAGATGCATCCAAGACGATGATCTAACAGTTGGGTTTACAGAAGTGTATATTAAATGGGATCTGACAGCTTTGACGTTACACTTTCGGGTTTGCTTCTTGCGATCTGGTCATCCAACCAGCTCTGCTGGCTTGGGCTCTGAGAGCAGAGCCGCAGTGTCGGGTTCCCCAGAGGCCTGCCTCACCTGTGCCATGAGGGTGTCTGTGCCCATCACATTCCCCTCCCACTCATGACAGGTACAGGACCCCTGGCTCCTCCCCACTTGGGCTCCTGTGTGCAGGGGGCCTGCCTGGGCACCTGGCCCATAAGGAATTGGACGCGATCGGCGCCTACCCATACCCACTTTCTGTATTATTCACTCTCCCTCGACTGTGACTCTCAGATCCTGAAGTCCCTCCTTGGTGGCAGCTAAAGAAACAGTTCTATTGCTTCCACCATGGAGGGCTTATGGGAATGCATTCATTTGCCTTTTCTCACTCGGTTTCAGAGAAGAACTAGGTTATTTCAGGAAGAAGTCTGTTTATTTGGGACACCTGCTGCATTTAGCCACCAAACTGATACTAGCTTCGGGTTGGCTGTTATTTTCATACCTTTGCAAAATAACTGGTAGGGGATGTTGAAAAGTGTGCAAGACGAACGCACATTTCTTATCTAGACCTTAAATCATGTCTTTTCAGCCTTGCTCTACAGAACCCAGGGGTTTGCTCACACACACGAGCTGGGGAGCCACATAACTGTTTCTTCAGACTGCTCAGTAATTAAGATTGCCTATGAAAAATGATGTGTCTGATCTTCCGTGCAACAATCCTGTGGAACAAAGGACACTTTTTAGAAATAAAAACCATATTGTAAATTTTTTAGCTAAGAACTATATGATTCATATTTCTTTGTTCATTCTAGGTTAACTGTCACTTCCATAGCCCTGTGGGAGAAAGCTAGCCTGCCTGGCCATTTTCCTCCAATCCTCCCTCTTTTTCTCCTCTTCCCTCCCTCCCACTCATTTTGAACAAACATGTATTTATCACTCATTCTGCTACCAGGCACCAAAGTGTGGCAGAGCCACTTCTCTGTGCTGTGTGAGTCTCAGGGCACCGCCTCCATGGTTCCTGCACACAGCAAGCACTGTGTGCTGTGCCATGGCATTCACTGCTGAAGATTGTCATCGGCTTTCAGGATCTTTTAGTTTACATCATCTACTTGGAATCTTGGAGAAGTCCATGTGGTGGGGTTCAGGGAGCCCTCAGCAATGCTTCTGGAATGAGCATCACTCATTTGGCCCGGCTTTCCTGAAGTGAGCACAGAGCAGCATTGTTTCCCTGAGCGACTCTGTAACTCCTGCTGCTCAGCGCCAGCCCCAGAGCAGGCAAAGAATGCAGCCTGCTGCTCGCTCACTGGGCACTGCTCCACCCTGAGGGCTTCAGCTTTGCCTTTCCTCCCTATCCTGGGCAATCTCGCTTGGGGGTTGGGACCCCGCCCACTGTTGACACCTGCCTTTGAGATGCTTAAGTTACCAACGCATCCCTGGGCCTTCAGAGCTGGAATGTTGCATCAGAGATGGGCTGGCCATGAGTCCTTGCTGAGTGCTGGACCCTGTGTCAGGAGCCAGAGGCCTGATGGCTCCTCCTGGGGGTGAGGCAGCCTTGTGTGAAATGGGAGTGATGGCCTCTTTTGGGGAAAGCACAAGGATTTCACCACTCTTTGTCCAGGAGGGAGGAAGCTGTACTGGCTTGAGGCAGCATGAGCTTCATTTGTGTCTCCCTGAAGGCCTCTGCAGGACCTGTCATGCTGCTCAATGGCCCAGAGGTCCAGCCGCCATGGGGATGTCTGGTCATTTCTTAAAGAGCTGACCTGTGAAGACCCTGAGCTCCCTGGAGGGCACTTGGATCTCAGGAAACTCCAGGCAGGAGCATCAGTCTATGCAGACCCCTCTCTGAGCATCCCCCAGGCTTGAACTTGAGCTCAGAATAAGCCAGTGCCCGTGAGAGAAGGCAGGAAGAGTGGGGCCTGGTGGGGAGGGATGATGGGGGTGGTGTCAGAGGTGGTCTCCTCTGGCTCGCTGTCCCCATCATCCAGGCCTTCAGCAAGGGACGGGATGATTCTGACCACACTGTCTTCAAAGTGTACCTGCTTCTTCTTGGCCAGCGAGTCAGCTGGCTCCAGAGTCAGCTCCGTCAGGGTGTCTGGGCGCTGGAAGGTGTTGGGCTTCTTGGTCCGCTTCAGGATGCTCTTCATGTGGATGAAGAGGGAGCCAGGCCCCTCCTTGAGGGCCCCGTGGAAGGTATAGGTTTGTTCGGTGTCCCCAGAGCCAGTGGTGCTCGTGGCACTGCTGGAGGGGTCTGTGTACTGCTCTGGGGAGGCCAGCACCTTGGGGGCAGCTTTGCTCTTCTTCCTCTTGCTCAGCAGGAAGTAGGCCAGACCAGTGATGATGAGCATGGAGCCTGGAAGAGATCTGGGAGGTCAGGATGCTGGACGTGTCCTGGAGAAAAGCCAGAGGCTGTCTAAGCCCACGGTTCCAAAGGGCCACTGCAGCATGCCTATGTGGCCACACTTAGGCCCCTGGGCTCCAGCCGTCACCCCTGACTTGTCCTCATACACCCACATCAGACTCAGGGGGCAGGCCTGACATCCAGCCAAGGGATATCAGTAGGGCTGGTGCCATGTTAGGGCCATCACCCTGACTGCTAGTGAAGGGACCCTGTGCCTGAGGCCCTTTTTCTGTTGACAGCCGACCCTGGTGCTGCCCGCCCAGCCTCCCATCTCCATGCTCAGCCTCCCTCTCGGGATGGCTTCTTGGGGCTGGAGCTGAAACTCCTCCCATGGGCCTGGACTCTGTTTTGGATATCGGGCCCTCCGTGCTAAACTGGGCTGCCTTCTGTTCCCAGAAGTAGAGAGGTCCCCCGTCACTTCAGCCTCCCAATAAACACAGAGGAAAGTGCAGTTTGGGTGGGGCTAGCATAGCACTGGTGCCCCTCCTGGCCCCTCACCCAGCCTCCAGGCCAGAGGCCCCTCGGTCCCAGGCTGAGACCTGCTGCTCTGCCTTGTCTGCCAGGATTCCACCCCGTCCAGAGGAAATGGGAAAGGTGGCTGTCCTGCCTGCCAGGACCCGAGCCTCCTGAGTGTCTCTCACTCTCCAAGGAGTGGGAGGTTGTGGCTGGCTCTGGCCTCGGCAGTGCTGAGTCCAGCTCAGGAGTCCACTGGAGGCCATGTAGAGTGGTCTTGAGAGGCTGTGACAGGCACGTTAAGAGAACCTGCGGGAAGGAATAGGTGGCTCTGCCTTTCCACCTCGTCTCCCTGGCGGCTGGTGGCCCCGGCATTGTAGACTAGTCACAAGGAGGGGCACAGTTTTACAGCTAGGGAGGAAAGAGGAAGAGGGCACTAGCAGAAAAGGCCAGGGACAAACACAGGAGGTGGGAGCACTGAGTCCTGGCTTCTGCGATCAGAAACCAGGCTGACCAGTAGGGTCTATGAGGTAGAGTGGGAGAAGACAATGAGGCTGTGAGGGTCTTTTGGGGTCCCATCTTGGCACGACTTCTGAACCAGACCGAGGAGTTTAGACCTGAATTGGTAGCTGCTGGGGAGACACAGAAGGGTTTGGGCAGAGAAGTGACCATCTTGTGCTCTCTGAAAGCTCCAACCACACACAGGCATCAGAGGAAAGGCCAGGTCCCTTTTGTGAGTGCAGCCTTTGGATACCTACATGAAGGATGCACTTCTCGGGACATCCTTGCCACTTAATCAGCATGGAGGACGTCTGACAGCTCCTCATCCCCACAACCTAGGCCAGAGAGGGCAGTGGGGCCGCCAGTGGAGGCCCTGCAGCCAGCATCACTGCAGGCCTCTGTAAGGGGCATTCAGCCCCTTCTGCTCAGAGCCTGTCTGCAGTGGGGGCTGCCTGCCTCTACTACCTCCCGGAGCTCCTACCTGGGATGGTCACATGCCAGACCAGAACAGGGTGGAGAAAGCAGGCCACGGACAGCAGTATGTAGGCCAGGAACTTCTGGAAGCAGCCCAGCCAGCAGGCGTTCTCCCTTGCTCTGTAGGCCAGGGACCCTGGCTGACACCTGGCGGGAGCAAGTTCAGGGTTAGCAGGAAGCAGGAAGCAACCCGGGAAAGTCCCAGCCACACACGAGGCTGTTGGAGGCTGGAATAGGGTCCTGCTGTGGTCATGTTGTCTGCAGTGGCCTCTGGCTGAACCTCCCAGGGGCTGGAGTTCTCACTATGGGATCCACAGTTAGAGGTCTTGCCCATGCCCCTCCAGAGGATCCACAATTTATTTGAAAGGTTGCCCAGCCCTGCCTTTCTGCTCAAGGAGGAAGGAAGGTTAATGCTCTCAGGATGCTGCAAAGGCAGTGGGAAGGAGAGTAGGGGACTCAGGGGCCTGCTTGGAAGCCCACAGTGGAATGGAGAAGGTGAGCAGCACAGGAGACACCTGGCTGGGATGGTTGTGTGGATTGTGTACTGCACAAGGGGCCCGGCCATGGGGGTGAGTGGGCTGGAATCCAGCTGCACCCTGCTCACGGAGCCTTGCCTAGGCATGGGATGGCATCAGCCCAAAGGGGCTTCTCTCTTAACTGGCACGCAGGGACCACACATGGGCCTGGCAGCGGCCTGATACCCAGCAGGTTTCCTCAGGGGTGCTGCCTTTCTCCAAGTTTCAAATGAGGAAAACGCTTGCCTTAGGTGCATCTTCTTATCCTCTGAACTGGTCTGGAGCTGGGCCCTGTACAGCTGCATCCTGCCCAGGCTAACTTTGGGAAGTGATTGGGGCTGGCAGAAGGTGTGTTGGCCTAGAGCAAGGCTCGCCCACACCCAGCTGCCATGGCTCTTTGGTGCCCTCTGGTGGTCATTATTTTGTGACCAGATCCTGGCTGGGCGTGGAGAGGTCCAGGGCAGGTAAAACACCCAGGGGTCCTCCATCCCCTGATGCTGGAGAAGTTGCAAGCACCCCTTGTCAGTGGAATTCAGCAGAAAGGGGGATGCATGCTGCCTCAGAGCTGGTAACCTTGGGAAGCAGCTGGTTGTCTTGCAAGGTAGCAGGACAGCTGGGTTTGAGACTTGGCTCTTAAACTGACCACCTAGAGCCCAACTGTCTAGGTCCTGAGAGCCGTGGTCCAGAGACAGCCCTTGGCCATGCTGATGACAGCTTCCACGAACTGGGCACTGCTGGACAGCAGGTATGGGCCTCCGTGGCCACATGGCTTCCCAAGATCCTGCAAGGTCTGTGCTCCTGTTCCGGCAATCAGGCGTGGAGGCTTGTGACCCCTGGCTTGTCCCTGGGTCCTGGCAGGAGGCAGAGCCAGTTCTCAAACTCAGCTCTGCTCACTCCATGCCGAGCCTTCTGCAGGGTTCTCACCCTGCAATGGACGGCTCAGACGGTAAGGTGCAGAGACTGGCTCTTCCTGGAGGTCAGAGATGGACTCTGCAGGGGGATTCTGGGTGGGAGCAGGCCCTGAATGAATGTGTTAGTCCGCTCCCCTGTCGGGATCAGGGAAAAGGGGATGATTGAGCTCTTCAGGCCTGAGCCCATGGCCAGGCCAGGGCTCACTGCACTGCGGGGAGGGAACCTGTCCATGGCTGCTTTGAGAATAAATATCGCCTAGGCTGTGTTCTTACAGCTGGAGGCGTCTGGGGGTGTCTAGGGCTGGGGAGTAGTGGAGGGGCGACTCTGGAAGCTACTTACTGGAAGCAGATGGCCAGAAGCTGAGCCACAAAGTAGGCCCCTTCGCACACGGAGATGGCAGCTCCTATCGACCTGTGGTGGAGACAGAAGAGCGAGGCTGGGCACCCTCTGATTCCCCCTTTGCTTTCCTACAGGCTGTCTTCACACAGCACCTGGCCCTCCTGGGCATCTACAGCTGACCAACTGTCCAGGAACTTCTTGACCTAATCCTGTCACCCAGCCAACATCTACCAGGAGTGGCCTCGACGCCAGGGCCTGTGCTGGGCCCAGGGACCAGAGACAAGTGAGGAAGGAGCTGCAGGCCAGCAGGGGAGACCACCTTGACCCCAGCAACCTGTGTGGACACTGACAGGCATGTCCTTCTACCTACTGTCACCAGGATGGACACCCACTGCTTGACTGTGTAAGCCTTAAATTTGGATCCATTCCTGACCCCTTTCCCTCTTCCTCTTCTGCAATCATCCAGTCACCAGGAGTGGTCCTTTGCATTCCTCAAATAGCCTTAGAATTGCGCCCATTCTCTCTGGCCTCACCTGTATCGCCTGAGTTTGGGCATTGCCCACTGAGCCCCTTGTGCCAGCTTCCCCCTTTGGGTCTCACGGACTCCCTGGCGCTCACCTCCCTGCCTCCTGCTCCTCTGCTTTCTCACCGCCAGGCTGCCCTGATGGCTCCTTCTGACACCTGGATCTGACCATATTCCTCTCAGTGCAGAATGATTCAGAGGCTCCTCAGGCTCCAAGTGTGGTCCAGGGACCCTCCAACAGAATCTTCTGGGGAATATGTAAAACCATAGATTCCTGGGCCAGCCCCAGACTTTATATATCAGTCTTTGAGGTGGAACTTACATTTTTATTGGAGGGTCTCACTGTCCTATAGAACTGAAATTTCTTAACATGCCTTTTAAAGCCCTATATGAACTTTCATATTCCTCTAACTACACAGGAAGCTATCAGGTGCCACAGGGCCTTTGAACAGGCTAGTCCCTCTTAGAAGGACTCTGCCTTCCTCCTCTTGTCTATCTGGTCACCTCTTGCTTCTCTATATTGTATTGTGTGGCTATAGCCACCAGTCTGAACTCCCTGTTGGAGCTCCCTCTCTAATTCTGCCACACAGTCCAGGCTACTAAGAAAGGCCTATTGTGAAGTGCTCCATGGACATGCATTGGAGCGAACAAGTGAGAGGAGATGCTACCTTACAGGGGAAAGTGGGTCAGAGCCAGGGTTCCTCAGGGCCCTGGGCCTTGCCCCTGCTATTGATCAGTTGACTTCTCCATGCCTCAGTTTCCTCATCTGTAAACTGAGAGTAATTATAGTGCTTCAACAATGAAATTGTTATAAGGACTAAATGAGTTAATATTTGTAAAGCCCTTCGGATGTCCTTGGCACACAGAGCTTATTATGTAAATGTTAGTTATCATCAATTCTCTCTCTCTCTCTCTGTGACCATTTAGTGCTTAATCTCCATTTTCTCCCACTTTCTTTATGCCTCCTAGGGTCTCCCCAACTCCTACTGCTCAGCTTTTAAATGGTATAATAGCTAATATTTATGTAAGGATGACTATGCACCAAACATGTTGTAAGGGCTTTACAAATATCAATTCATTTAGTCCTTGTAACAATTTCATTGTTGAAGCACTATAATTACCCTCAGTTTACAGATGAGGAAACTGAGGCACAGAGAGGTCAAGTCCCTTGCTATGGTCACACAGCCAATCAATATGACGGGCAAGATTCGAACCCAGCACTCAGACTCCAGAGCCTGTGTGCCTAACAAGTACGCCAAAGCACGTGCTTCGCAAAACAAGTAGCATTGCCTTTTCCTACATCCTGGGACAGAGGGAAACTGAGCCTTGGGGAATAAAGTGACTTATTCAGACTTGCCATCTGGTGCTTCAGAGGCTGTGCCTCTTGAGTCCAGGGAAGCCTGGTCACTCAGGCAGGGCAGGAATCCAAGCCAAGAGCCCCGCCATGGCAGCAAAACCCTACACTCCAACATCTCTGCCCAGGGCTCCACGTGGGCCACATGGGTCCTTCGGCCACCGTTGGTGGGTGAGGAAGGCAGTAAGGGCCTCACAGAAGGAGGAAGACAGGAGAGGAAGCACGTGTGGAGAGGAGAAGTGGAAAACAACGAGGAGACAGCCAGTGACAGCTCAGTTCCTACTGATGCTTGCTCTTGGCCACAATCCCTGCTGGGTCCTGGGGACACAGAGAGGGAGAGATGTCCTACGGAGGATCTGTTACCCTGGGTGACCCTCAGAGATGAGGGAACACACTTAGGAGTCCGCGATCTGCAGGGGAGACCGCACGGGTGCGCAGGCGCAGGGGCAGCGGGTGCCACGCTGCAGGGGCAAAGAGCAGGGTACGGGTGGAGAACGTAGACTAGTTCACAGTGAGGGGCAGGGGCACCCGAGGCTGGAAGTGACAGTTCCTAGGACTGGACCACAGAGTGACCAGATGGGCAGTGTGTCCCCTCAAGACAGGTAAAGAGCAGTCAGGAAGAGGCAGTGTCCTGGGGAGAAAGCGGTCTTCATGAGCCAGCCTCGGCCCTGACCTGTTACAGTCGGATCATAACCTCTACCTCTTTCCCAAAGTGATGTTTGTGGGTGAAATGGGCAACCATGGGGAGAAGGCAAGACAGGGCATGCGGCCGAGAACAGGCTCAGTAAGACGTGGAGGGAATTCCGAGTGAGGAGAAGTCACTTCCAGCCAGCGGGCTCCAGGCTCGGGGCAGGCTTCCCAGGGCAGAAAGCCAGGGAGAATGCAGGGCTTTAGGAATGCTGAAGTGGGTGGAAAGGGCCCCGGGGGTGCTCAATGGGATGAGCAATGGCTTAGAGGTGAGGTGATGCTGGTGAGTTTGAGAAAGAGTCAGAAGCTCCCGGGATATAAATTGGGTGGCAAGAAATAAGGTGGAGGACAGAAGATAGAAAGCGTGTGTGGACTGGAGGCAGTGGCAGCTCTTGAAGGTTGTCAGAGTGACCTGTGTGTCTAGGTGGCTAATTTTGTGGTGGTGTGGAAATGGCCTGGAAGGGTAGAACATGATTGGGAGATGGTGGATGCGATTCATCCAGCAAACCAAAGAGCCTGCCCTGAGACAGGAGGGCTCCTTAGGATGCAGACCAGGCCACCGTGATGAGGGTGGATGTGGAGGGTGGAGGATGGAAAGCACAGGCTCCCAATGTCCTTCAAATGGGGCTGCTGAGAAACTGGGCGGTCAGAGCCAGCAGGGACCCCAGGCTCTCCTCCCCCTCTGGGACACAGTCATCTCCTTCCTGCCAGGGAGTGTTTGCAGAGACAGCTGGCAGAGAGGAAAGGACAGAGGCTGGGAAACTAAGTGGACCTGGGCCTGAGTCTGTGCCCTAATGCTCATGAGCTTGGTGATGTGGGCTGAGCTGCTTACTCCCTGAATTTTCTCATCTGCAAAACTAGGACAATATGCACTCCTATGGTGCTGTCAGAGTTAAAGGACATAATGTAAATAAAACATTTAACTGTGCTCAGCATGTAGAAGGGCTCATATATATAGTCCTTTGAGCTGATTCCCCTCTCTTTAAAACAAGAGCTCGTTAATGTTTGCTGAATAAAGAAAAGACTCGAGATGGATGGGTGGATAGATGGCTGGGTGTGTGGATGGATAGATGGATGGATGAGTGGATGGGTGGATGGGTGGGTAGATGGATAGATGGATGGGTGGATCAGTGGGTGGATGGATAGATGGATGGACGGATGGGTGGATAAGTGGGTGGATGGATAGATGGACGGATGGATGGGTGGATGGGTGGGTGAGTGGATGGAAGGATAATTGGTTGATACGTGGTATGGTCTGACCAAAGCCCTGCCCAAACCGGGGAATATCTTGGAAGCCCCCTTGACTCCTTCCATCTCTGGGATAGGGTAGAGTTAGCGCAGGAAAGGGAGGGCTGCTCTAGGTTAGTCTGATCAGATAGACTAAAGTGAACTTGAGGAGAACATGCAGGCAGGGAGGGGCACATGCACACATACTCACAGTAGATAGAAAGCCAGGCTTTTGAATTGCCCCTGGATGAAGGTCTCAGTGCCCACGCCGATCAACACTATGGGGGGAAGAGGAGAGAGGAGAGTAGGCCCAGGTGATTTGTGCCACAGCACTGACCGGTGGAAGGCTCCTGGGCCATGCATTGACCCTTCTTCCTGGAGATGGGGAGCCAGGGTAGGCTCTTCTCTACGTGCACAGGGAGCTGTGTCTGGGAAGATACAAGACAGCAAGGAGCCTTCTGGACTGGTCTCTGGAAACCAGGAGGATTTCAGGTAGAACCCCAGATGTCTTTTAGTCCAGCCTCGCCAGAGCACCAATGCTGGCCTTTCTTTCCCCAGATTGGTCATGCACCCAGAGACAGCCCACATTGATGGGCCACCAACGCCCCTGCTTCACAGCTGTCTTGCACATGTCATGGTTTCAAGGGCCCTCACCTCCTGGATGCCCCCACCAGAGTATGCTGTATGTCTGGGTTCAGTGCTTGGCTGTGGGACCTGCCCCACCCTCCTTCCCTTGCCTGGATCTCTGTTCTTACTGTTTCTGTGACCTCATTTTCACTTGCTGTTTTGGCAGCTGCATCACACACTCTTGGCTCATGGCTTTGGACCCAGAGCTGGCTAAGCCCCTGGGGTTTTGCTCTGACATGAGATGCTACTCAGCCTCGTCTCTCCTGCTCTTTCTTGGCAGTGGTCTATGCTCAAAAACCTCACCTTCCATTTGTCCAGAGTGAATTTTATCTTGGCCTCACCGTTCCAGACTTGCTGGCTCCCAGTCATCTACTTAGGGAGATTCCCTCCCTCTTCTGGTTTTACTCAACCAGCCATGGCTCTGACCCCAACCACTCACTGATGGAACATTCTAGACAGCACTCAGGTGCCCAAGATCTTCCTCCAGGACCATGTCGGCCCACTAATCAGACTTCTTTCTGGCCTTAGTTGATTATACCCCATGCACCCTGCATTTCTCTCTCTGGACTCTGATGACACACCCAGATATTTGCTCAATTGTGGCTTCACCTTGTCTCACTCCCAGAAAGTCAAAGGGCTGAGCTGTGGTACTGGCTGCCCATGTGTGTCCTTTGTCTCTGCCGCTCAGGGGGCTGCTTCCCTGGGCCCAGTGCCTCCTATTTTCCCTGGCAGACACGCTGTGTAAGCTTCCATCCTCGGGCATCCCTAGCCCTTTGTCCACTGCAGAAATGCTGCCTCCTGAAACACGGGACAGAGCCCCTCACTGAGGCTACTAATATCTCCACCCACTTCTAGGGGGCATTGTGGGAGTACTTCAGGGAGAAGGGGACAGAGAACTTCCATCTAGGAAGGGAAGGGGGATGTGGCTGTGTTTTCTTAGTGATGGAGGGTTGCAGTGCTCCCCTGTGCTTCAGGTCCAGAGCGGAGGACGACGCAGTGCCTCCACCCTCTCTAGCTGCTAGCTGCTCGCTGGCTCCTCCCAGGTGAGGGGCCGGGTATGGTAGTCAGCCACACACCCCTCTGCAGGGTCAGCATAACTTGCAAAGCTTAAGAGTTTATATGCAATGGTCACACACAGGTCCTGGCTCCTCATAGCAGCCTTGTGACACAGGGGAGCTCTATTGTCTCCATTTTACTGGGAGGAAAAAGAGGCTCAGTGACCTTGTGTAATTCTCTCAAGGACACATGCCAGAAAGTAAGGGACTGACAGACTAAACTTGAGACTTCTGGCTCCAGGTTGTGGGCATTTTCCTGGTTTCTACTGTCTGCCAGTGTGTGTGTATGTGTGTGTGTGTGTGTGCGCGCGCGCGAGTTGTGCAGGCAAATGTCTATTTAGTTTTCACATTTAGGTTTCACTGTGTATCCTGTCCTGTTCTCAGCACTTAGCCTTTATTAACCTATTTAAGCATCACAACAGTCCAAGGTGAAAGTCATGTTATGCTCATTTTACAGAAGAGGAAATTGAGGCACAGAGAATGTAAGCAAAACAAACAAAAAAACAACCATGGGTGCCTGGGTCAGATCCTGCATTTCAGTCTCGCGTTTGCCGGTTGATAGCTGAGTCACGCAGTCTCTCTGATCCTCAGTTTCCTCATTATGCCTCCTGCACATAATGGTTATGAGGATTCAATAAGCCAACTGATAGCAAGCACATCGCAGTCCATGAAATCACTTGTTAATTTTTGGTGCAAGGATCCAGCCTGGGGAAGGGTCTTTCCACCCAAGTGGGGACGGGCCCTCAGCTCAAGGCTGATGCTTATTACTGTGCACTTCCCTGGCAAGCAGGGGGCTGCATTCACGTCCCTGGTCTCTGTGGATCTGCGTGGTCTTGTGGTGGACGACCAGCAGGTGGCAGGAAAGGGTCTTGGGAACTCAGCCCCTTTCTCTGACCTGACATACGGAGAGCTATTTTGATGCCTTTTGACTGAAACAAAGGGTCAGTAGTCAAAAGGGCATGCAAGGAATGCTCTAGAGGCAGCACTGGTTTGCAGTTAAAAAACAAATCAAACTAACAACAGAGGAAAGAAAGAGCTGGGGTGGAATCCCAGTTCTGTGTGTTATTATTGGAGTGATAGTGAGAAAGTACTGAACGCCTCTGAGTTGGGTCTTCCCATCTGTGGAACGGGAAGTGTTATTGCTTGGATTGGAGAAAATAAAGAGTCTGAAATGCGTGGCTCTGCCTGGTAGATATCATGTGGCCAGTGTGCATGAGCTCCTTCCTCTCCCTGCCTCCGGCATTTCCTAGCCTGAGTTAGCTTTCCCAGCCTCCATCTATCCTATTTGCACCAAGGAGTCACCCTCCCAAAAGTTCTCAACCAACCATTGCCCTGCTGGATTCTGCAAGCCTGGGGACGGAGGAATGCCCTTTGGCTGGAGGAGGAGAGCAGAGGGATGGAGTCAGAAGTGTGGGTCCTCAGGCCAGGAGATTCATAAAGGGATCCAGTGGGATTCTCATGGGAGGCCTAAGGCCTTTTGACACTGGGGCCAAGGGGTCACCACTTTCTGCTTGATCCTTTTAGTTCTGGGGCTCACATTCTAGGAGGCAGACCATGTGAGGTTGAGACAATGCTGACAACATGAAGTCCTTCCTTCTGTCCCTCATGTCTGTCTTTTGGCCTGTGGCTTCGACCCACGGGCCTGCTTCTGCCTGGGAGCTGCCCGCCCATGCTCCTTGGTGTCTCCTGGCAGCTCTTCCTAGACTATGCTTCCATCTCATCTTCTATGGTTTCCTCTTGGGGACATTTGGGATCAGGCCCAACACTGGGCTCGAGTTAGGCATCGGGCTTATCTCTGGGGCATGCTTGGTCCAGGAGGAGAGAGTGATATGAATTGAGAAATGTACAGCGACTCAGGCTGTAAGAGAGGCTCGTGGAAGTGCTCTGGGGCCAGAAGAGGGAAGGGCCATTCATGGGGACTATCAGGAAAGACTTTATGAAGAGGTTTCAACCAAGGGGGACTGGAAGTGGCAGGAAATGGACAAGCGCAAATGGAGGGGTGTGGCACTGCAGGAAGACCCCCTCCTCCCCACCACAGCAGCAAGGAGCAGAGGCACAGAAGGGGGCAATGGGCGGTACATGTGGACCGAGGCTGGACTGTGGGTCTTTAAATATCAGACTGCACAGGTTGGGCGGGGGGACTTGAGTGTTTTGGAGCAGCTGAGTGACATGTTCATATTGGCATTTCAGCCGATGGGGTCAGGGACTTTTCTGACATTTGGCCGAGACTGCCCGTCAGATGTGAGGCGGTGGCGAGGGACAGGGCCGTGTTCTGGGTGTTTGGCCTCTTGCTCTCCTAGGACGCTGGTAGCTGCTAGTTACTTTGTTGGCTTGGCTTGAAGCAAAGTTCTGGTTGTGGCTTCTCATGGTGTGGCCAGGTGACCCTGTTCACTTGCCTGCAGGGCAGTGTGCTTGGCATAGGGGCCTGGTTCTGTCTGGGGGCCCCGTCAAGGAGGCTTCCCAGGCACAGAGAAGGGCATGCCCTGCTGTGGCAGCTGGTCTTTTGGCTTTTTGGGCAGTGGAAGGCAGAGGCGTGGCATGGTTACGGGTGACCAGAAGGTATCTGGGTTTGGAAGTTCCCTGGGAGTGCCAGCCCCACTGCCTCTCAAGGAGGTCCTACTATGGTGTGGGGATGCATCTTGTTTAATCGGCACAACATCCCCTGAGGAGGGGGTTGTCAACCCCATGCCAGGTATGGAGAGATCCAAACAAGTTTCCTAGAGGTGCAGCACCTTGCCCAAGGCATGCTGATAGACAAGGGCAGAGGGAGCCAGGAGCAGCTTGATTCCCACTGCTCCCCAGGCCCCGGGCAGGGGTTGAGGAAGGACTCTGGGAGAGCAGTGCAGTGGGGGAGGACATTTCCTGCGGGCCTTCAAGAGCATAGGGGGTTGCCACATGGATGAGACTCATGTTGTTATGGGCAGTGGACCACTGTGTCCCCCAGGCCCAGCTGTGAATGGATTTTTGTAATGTCCGCATCAGAATGAGGCAGGAAACTACCCCTTTACTACTTTAATGACTAGCCTGGTGCCCAAGTTGTGGGTCAGTGTGGTGACTGCCCATTGGTCCCTCACCCCAGGTATCTGGCATGAGCGCCTCAGCCTGGGCAGAGCTCTCTTCTGAGTGTCAGAAGCAGTTGCAGCCTGAATCTTCCCACCCAGGGCAGTTCCATCCAGCAACCCAAGAGTTACCCTAGTCAGTCAGGGCCCAAAGTTCCCAGTGGTCAGCCTGCACCCCCATTCATGGCATGTCCTCTGTGACAGGTCTGGTAAAGCACAGTGGTGCAAAGGAAATATGCGTTGGAGCCCGGGCAGATGGTCCCAGACCCAGGAAACAGAGAGATGTTGAGGTTGGGAACAGGCACAGCACTCTGGGAACAGGACTGTGCAGACTCCATTCTGCCTGGGAACCCAGGACAGCTCCGCAAAGAGGGAAGGCAAGGTGATGCCAGGAGGATGGAGCAGTGTGAGCGAAAGTCTGGAACTGCCACAGCTGTTCCACGTACCAATAATGGACAGGAACTTGTCTCTGGGTGCTTCTCTGTGCAGCTCCCAGGGCTGGGCAAGGCCACAGGGCCACACTAGGGCAGTGACAGT